GCGGAAAAGGCTACTGGTTGCTTCCTGTGGGCTGGGCAGGGCTCTCTTACATGCGTTGAAACCAGTCCCTGTTGTAGGACATACCCATATGGAACTCGATTTGTTTAGACTGATTTTGAACCTTCAAATATTCGACCAGCGAACCTTAGTTGCATCGCACAAAGGCAGGTCTCCTCTAGCGCACTGATCCCAGGGCCCGCATAAGCACGTTATAGTTGCTTTTTTCTTCTTTTTTTCTTCGGGCCTGACCCTTCCATCCCCCTGTGACTCCGCGCACTGAGCTGCACTGAGCGAGGCAAGCAGGCAGGCAAAGCACACAAGCAAGCGCGCAAGGAAGCAATCAAGCAAACGAACAAATGAGCAAGCAACCATGAATCCACTTTTTTGTAAGATGGCCGTGGGTCCAAATCCCGTACCCCAGTGAACATCCCAATCCCCACTAAACTAGACTAGAATGGGTGGTGCACCTACCCCAAAATGGTGCCATTGGTTTTGACCCACAGCCAGATAGCCTCCTCTGATGTTCCAAATGTCCTTCTTGCCTTGGCAAGGCTCTTGCGAGATCCGTCTTGGGCTCTTGGAGCTCGAGCCAGGTTTCTCCCAGATTGTCTGAGGCACATGCGACGGACACCGACCTCCTCCGATTGCACGGCACCACCACGACTATTGTCTTTGCTGGATCCTAAGTTCTTAGCCCCTCTGTGCTGGCTATGTATGCTGGCAAGTATTCGATCTCCCACAACCTGCAGAAGACTCAATGCTTCTTTGATCATAAATGAAGATCCACATAGGCAGCAGTCTAAAGGCTCCCCTCCAAATGTCAAAATGGTAGACTGACGGCAAACGACCTCATCTTTTGTCTTTGACAGCTAGGCCAGGATAGAGCCAAAACACAAGCCTACGTCTTTACATGGCGTGAATGGGGTCAGTCTTCTACCCTCCAAGTGGGAGTGCGGCCATTGTATCCTAGTCTGTGGCCGGGAAATACAACCAAAGTATTTTGCCGCCTTGCTACTGCATGTTTACATCAAGTTAATTTGCAGACGAAGCTCGAATTTTTGATGGAGACTGCAGCATCTCACTACCATCTATTTTCTGTCGCCATCTTTGTTCTCGTTGCTTTTCTGTTTCCTTTTGGTTACCCTTGGCTGGAACCGCTGGGTTCAGGAACGCCAAGGCCTTTGCCAAGGACTGTCGGGGGCCGGGGATGTGAGCCTCTGTTAGTTCCCTTTGACGCCATCGCATGAGGCTCTGACAAGATTCCGGGTTTGGGGAGGGCGAGAAAGGGGGGACAGCCCCTCTTAGCACCCACGATGCTGATCCTGAGTCGAATTGTTAGGCCCCCACCTTGAATCAAGTCACCATTCATTATTGGGAAATCCCTCCCAGGTCCCCAAAAAGGTAGCCACCTTTGTGTTGGGTTTGCATGTTGTTCTCTTTCAAACAATAAAAAGGGGGGATTCTCCATTTCTAACCTACCCAAATGCAAAAGTGCCTCTTAAAGAAGCCAATTAGGATACGCTGCTGGAGGTTGTGGAAAATGGTCGGGCCGGTGTAGTTCAACTTGGACAAGTCCTGACCGACTTGCCCCTCCCACCCAACACTGAACCCAGCGGAAGGTCCCTGGAAAAGCAACATGGTCTTCCAGAACCCTGCTTTCATCAGCTTATATGTGGGTTGGAGGGTATTCTCGACGACTGGATTTCAGTATCACAGATGTCGGGTCCATCCAGCCTGATGCTCGCAACCCTCATTTCGTTGCGTGCACGTCCCCCTTTCACCATGACCGGGTGGTGAACCTTTGCCCTTTGATCTCTTGCAAGCAATCAGATCTCAGGCAATACTTGTCTTGGTGGCTCCCGAAGGCCATCCGGTTCCTTAGCTTCTTAGCCTGTTAGTGTTTAGTGGTAGTTTCCATTTAACCCACTAAAAGTTAAACTTTAGCGGGGGATCTGAGGGCAACCCAGTTGCTCCAGGGAACATCCGCTTAGCTACCACGGGGGGAGGACTTTGGCTTAAGACTTGCAAGGGGCATGCAGATCGAGATTTCCGCGTAACGAACCTGGATCCAAATTGCCAAGCTCAGAGTCCCCAGCTTAGGTAACAAATGGTTCCGAAGCAAGATTGTGGTTGACCACTCGGGGTTTATCCAACCACTTCGGTGAAATTGTCGGGAATCTCCCCCTCTATATGGGCGCTTAGTCTTTCGGAAGCGCTTTTGCATCAGAGGAGTGGATTCCAATTCCCACAGCTGTTCCAAAGTGCACGCCAAGAGGGCAAGGGAATCTCCCCCTTATGGGGGGCTGAGCCTTTGGGAAGCTCTTTTGTATCAGAGAAATGGATTCCATTTCCCACGGCTCCTGTTCCAAAGTGCACGCTAAAAGGGTGGCTAAATCCCCCAGTAGTGCCCACCCCTTTTTTGGGAAGGGTTCCCCCACTAAAATAGACGACAGAAAAAGGAAACGGTATTATTCCAACCTCTCTACTGGAGGACCTAGTTGGGTCCCCCGCTTGCAGGCGGGTGCGGATCTGGCCCTGCGATCGCTGGCGGGGCGCTATGCCCAGGACGGCGAGGCAAATCGTCAGATTTGTTTCGGCGGAAACCCCCGGCCCCCAACCCCCAACACTTCCCGACTTCCCCAAGAACGAAAGAAGTGGTTTTGGGTTGTTGGTAGTTGTTGGCTAAAAACAACCCAAAACAGGGAAGGATAAGAAGAAGAAGACGAAGAAGAAGAAGACCACACATGCTTTGCCATCGCCACCCGATGTTGAAAGGCGATGGCTGTCTTCAAAGGTAAGAAGTCATAAAGCCCCGAAACACCAAATGTCCGCAATGAAGCCGAGGCTGCTGGGAAAACATTTTTGGACACCCCCACACAGATTCGCCTGCCAGCTCCATAGAATTTTCACCTTTCAGAGCAAACTTTGAGACTGAGTTTCTTGCTGGAAAGGTACAGATGATGTATTTAGGTGGTCAAGTATAGGTACCCAAATGGACCCCTGACAAATGGAAAGCATGGGATAACACTTTCGGTCCCCTGGTTTAATTTTGACCCATACCCATTTAACTCTGAAAGTGGCCTTCACGTGGCCAAATCCATCAAGATCCGACTCCGGCCATAAATCGCGGATGGAACCCCCCATCCTTTGGGTGGGGAACAACTATCACTTGTGTATTTCCAAATAATTAGTTGTCTACCCCTATTTGGCTTGGCTGGAACCCCTGATGTCTGTTGGAACATCGATTGTTGTGAGGATCTATCAGGAGAGCTCCGTGTTGTCCATTTGGACCCAAAAAGGGATCCTTTGAGGAACGAAGCAGAACAAGCTCTCGAAATGGGACAGGTGAGAGTCTGCCAAAGGTGTTGCCAGTTTCGCAATTTCGAGCCGCAGTTGATAAAACATAGGGTACATGCCTCGGCATCACCAGGCACCACCCACCCAGGCTCTGGTATGTGGGCGGCCATGGGGCCCATGTCCATAGGCTCTTCAAAGCACCCGACACAGTGCGGTGTTTGAGCATACCTCCAATGGGTGTTTTGGAGCTTGGTGGTTTGGTGGCTAAGGAGGGGTTTCGCATTCATCTACAAAAGCCGCCAATCCAAATCACCAACTAAGGGTTACCTGAGTCTTCAAAGGATCTTTCACTTTGCACCATCCTCAAGGTGAGTGGATCCCAAGCCCAGATAGGTCACCCACTATGTTCCTTGTTTTTTTCAAGTGTGTGGTTCAAGCCCTTGGTCCCTTCCATTGCTTAATAAGAGTTTATATTGTCCCTGGTTGGTTTTAAAGGGAATCTATCACCACTGGAAGTATCTTTTTTTCCAGGGGGCGAAAATGCAAATGGAAGGTTACCTACAAAACCCAGGTACATGGATCCACCATCCCGCCTCCCTTCTCCAGGTCGCAGCAGCGGTGACCAGCGCCTTTGGGACCTATCTGCCGCTGAGCCGGGCGTGAAAAGGAGCCGCGCCGAGCGACGCATCAACGGGGTCGGGCTGCGCTTTGGGCCTTGAGACCTGTCGCCTTTGTTGCAGCCTCGAACATGGAACCGGGTTGCAAAAGCCTGGGAGTCCTTGGACAGTTTTGGTTAATGCAAACCGCTGTCTCCTTCAGCTCCCTTGCCCACGTGAAGCTTCGGCCTGACGGGTTTGGGAATGCTCCCTCACCCAGCCGCTTGCATGTTGTGTTTGAAGAAGACGCCGTGGAAGCACCAAGCTGATCCTCCCCATTTTGCGAGCCTCATGAAAAACGAAGTGACCAACTTGATCGGACGCCAGGGTGTTTTTCTCAAAGTGGGCGACCCCTTTGGATGGTGCTTCAAAGCAACAAATCGAACCAAAGCCATCGTCAGGGGCCCATGTTGTGTCCGTGGCTTTCTGTAGCAGTCGGCTTTGCATTTGAGTGCAGCCTTCAGCTCAGCAGAGTTACCATGATAGTGCCGGCCCCAAAAGGTGAACCTACTGTGGATGGACAAAATCCTGCACCATGTGAGACAATATGGGAAACCATTGTTTGTTGGTATTTACAGGGAAATCATCATTCCAGGGGTTCCTAGGTGGTGCAGGATTTTGTACATCCACAGTATTGTTTCACCATTTTCATTTTCTCCCAACTGTCGATCTCCTAAACTTTGTAAAGCAGGGAAGCCAGTCGCGACGTCCAGCACAAGATGCCCAGCTATCCAGTGGCACCCGTTTCCCTGTTTACCCTTCAATCATGGAAGCTGAGAAGAGGGCTTGAATGACTACAGTCCTCTTGAAGATGCCTCATGTCCACTTCCATGATGGGTTGACTTCCCGCATTCTGGACAGAATCTTGGACCTTTGGCCAATCATTCCTCTCGAGTTAAATACATGGGATGACCCCTAAACAGATGATACTTCAACTACTGAATGGGAGTTCGCCATGGTCATAACTGGGGGGGCCAAAATGGAATATTGATCAACCCCCCATGTGGACATTCGGGGTGCCTGCGAGTGGTTGAGCCGAGCTCGTGCAGCGATTTTCTTTGCCCGACGGTGCAGCTGCGCGCTTGAGTTGTGGCCATGGCTCGTCGGCTAGAAGCTCAGGATGGCGCCGTCCCAGGTCTCCCAGTTGCCCAGCGGGGTGCTTCCTTTGTTCAACTTGTTCTTGGGAAGGGTTCACCTTTAAACTCCACCAACCAAAAAGGGGGTGCATGTTTTTTAACCAACGCCTGGGCATCTGAGTGAAGGAGGCCGATTTGGTCTCTCAAAAGCGGCAGCAGCAGATCTGTGCGCATCCGAAAGGAACACAGTTGGCCGAAGGATCCCGGCCAAAAGATCAACCGGAGTTTTCTTGTCTCAGTCCTGAGTTACCATTAGCTGCATTCCACTGGGTTTTTAGTCGTGTTTGGAGCTGAAGGTGTCCCTTCAGTTCGTTTGGTTTAGGTTTGGCTACTTCCCAGTTGGAGGAGGCAAACGCTAAATGCATTATTTGATCCGGTCATTTGGTTTGTCCCTTCTTGAGGCTCAGTATTCCTCTTGGAGTGGCTTTAGGTAGTAGCAACTATTTTTTCTTTGTGCTGAAGCTGTCTCACTGGGTCGCAAGGGATGGCATCTTGAGGGGTTTCTCAAAAGCATGGCTTTGGGGGCTTGCTTTTGCCTCTTGATTTATGCTCATTTTGAGGATGCAACTACACTGGAGCAGCTTTTTCCTGCACAAGGAGGTGGATATGGCATTGTTTTTCCAAATATGGACCCTGTATGGATGGCGTGTAGTTGTCAAAAGCTACCAGCATGGCTGTTGTTGGGAAACATTTTACATTTGTGCTTATTGTGGTTTAGTGGGACACCCCCACTTAACTGCTAAAGTTTATTTTTGTTGCTCCCCTTCCAACGTCAACCAAGCCAGCAAGTGAAGAGATCGAGCCATTCAAACCTTCGGCCCCCAACTCGTCTCCAACAACCGCCGCGCTGAGGTGCAGGACCCTCGGCGCCTGCCTCCTGGCGGCGTTCGGTGTCCTGAGCTGCTTCGTGAGCTTCCCGGCGCGGGCTTCGGTTCGGTCGGGGGAAGCTTCGCTTTGGCGCAGTTCGCCAAGGGATGTTCGGACTGGAACTTTTGGCCAACTAATGGGTTTTCCGAATTAAACCACCAAAGGTTAAAAACTTTCTAGCTCTTTGCCAACTAATGGGTTTTCCGAATTAAACCACTAAAGGTTAAAAGCTTTCTAGCTCTTTGCCAACTATTGGGTTTTCCGAATTAAACCACTAAAGGTTAAAAGCTTTCTAGCTCTTTGCCAACTATTGGGTTTTCCGAATTAAACCACTAAAGGTTAAAAGCTTTCTAGCTCTTTGCCAACTATTGGGTTTTCCGAATTAAACCACCAAAGGTTAAAAGCTTTCTAGCTCTTTGCCAACTATTGGGTTTTCCGAATTAAACCACTAAAGGTTAAAAGCTTTCTAGCTCTTTGCCAACTATTGGGTTTTCCGAATTAAACCACCAAAGGTTAAAAGCTTTCTAGCTCTTTGCCAACTATTGGGTTTTCCGAATTAAACCACTAAAGGTTAAAAGCTTTCTAGCTCTTTGCCAACTAATGGGTTTTCCGAATTAAACCACCAAAGGTTAAAAACTTTCTAGCTCTTTGCCAACTATTGGGTTTTCCGAATTAAACCACCAAAGGTTAAAAACTTTCTAGCTGTTTGCCAACTAATGGGTTTTCCGAATTAAACCACCAAAGGTTAAAAGCTTTCTAGCTCTTTGCCAACTAATGGGTTTTCCGCATTAAACCACCAAAGGTTAAAAACTTTCTAGCTCTTTGCCAACTAATGGGTTTTCGAATTAAACCACTAAGGTTAAAGCTTTCCCAGCTCTTTGCCAAACGTTTTCAATTAAACCACTAAAGGTTAAACACTTTCTAGCTGTTTGCCAACTAATGGGTTTTCGAATTAAACCACCAAAGGTTAAAAACGTTCTAGCTCTTTGCCAACTAATGGGTTTTCCGAATTAAACCACTAAAGGTTAAAAGCTTTCTAGCTCTTTGCCAACTATTGGGTTTTCCGAATTAAACCACCAAAGGTTAAAAGCTTTCTTGCTCTTTGCCAACTATTGGGTTTTCCGAATTAAACCACTAAAGGTTAAAAGCTTTCTAGCTCTTTGCCAACTATTGGGTTTTCCGAATTAAACCACCAAAGGTTAAAAGCTGTCTAGCTCTTTGCCAACTATTGGGTTTTCCGAATTAAACCACTAAAGGTTAAAAGCTTTCTAGCTGTTTGCCAACTAATGGGTTTTCCGAATTAAACCACCAAAGGTTAAAAACTTTCTAGCTCTTTGCCAACTATTGGGTTTTCCGAATTAAACCACCAAAGGCCAAAAACTTTCTAGCTGTTTGCCAACTAATGGGTTTTCCGAATTAAACCACCAAAGGTTAAAAGCTTTCTAGCTCTTTGCCAACTAATGGGTTTTCCGCATTAAACCACCAAAGGTTAAAAACTTTCTAGCTCTTTGCCAACTAATGGGTTTTCCGAATTAAACCACTAAAGGTTAAAAGCTTTCTAGCTCTTTGCCAACTATTGGGTTTTCCGAATTAAACCACTAAAGGTTAAACACTTCCTAGCTGTTTGCCAACTAATGGGTTTTCCGAATTAAACCACCAAAGGTTGAAAGCGTTCTAGCTCTTTGCCAACTCTTGGGTTTTCCGAATTAAACCACTAAAGGTTAAAAGCTTTCTAGCTCTTTGCCAACTATTGGGTTTTCCGAATTAAACCACCAAAGGTTAAAAGCTTTCTAGCTCTTTGCCAACTATTGGGTTTTCCGAATTAAACCACCAAAGGTTAAACACTTTCTAGCTGTTTGCCAACTAATGGGTTTTCCGAATTAAACCACTAAAGGTTAAACACTTTCTAGCTGTTTGCCAACTAATGGGTTTTCCGAATTAAGCCACCAAAGGTTAAAAACTTTCTAGCTGTTTGCCAACTAATGGGTTTTCCGAATTAAACCACCAAAGGTTAAACACTTTCTAGCTGTTTGCCAACTAATGGGTTTTCCGAATTAAACCACCAAAGGTTAAAAACTTTCTAGCTCTTTGCCAACTAATGGGTTTTCCGAATTAAACCACCAAAGGTTAAAAACTTTCTAGCTCTTTGCCAACTAATGGGTTTTCCGAATTAAACCACTAAAGGTTAAAAGCTTTCTAGCTCTTTGCCAACTATTGGGTTTTCCGAATTAAACCACCAAAGGTTAAAAACTTTCTAGCACTTTGCCAACTATTGGGTTTTCCGAATTAAACCACCAAAGGTTAAAAGCTGTCTAGCTCTTTGCCAACTATTGGGTTTTCCGAATTAAACCACCAAGGGTTAAAAACTTTCTAGCTGTTTGCCAACTAATGGGTTTTCCGAATTAAACCACCAAAGGTTAAAAAAATTTTAGCTGTTTGCCAACTAATGGGTTTTCCGAATTAAACCACCAAAGGTTAAAAACTTTCTAGCTGTTTGCCAACTAATGGGTTTTCCGAATTAAACCACCAAAGGTTAAAAACTTTCTAGCTGTTTGCCAACTATGGGTTTTCCGAATTAAACCACCAAAGGTTAAAACTTTCTAGCTCTTTGCCAACTACTGGGTTTTCCGAATTAAACCACCAAAGGTTAAAAACTTTCTAGCTGTTGCCAAATGGGTTTTCCGGTAAACCACAAAGGTTAAAACTTTCTAGCTGTTTGCCAACTAATGGGTTTTCCGAATTAAACCACCAAAGGTTAAAAACTTTCTAGCTGTTTGCCAACTAATGGGTTTTCCGAATTAAACCACCAAAGGTTAAAAACTTTCTAGCTGTTTGCCAACTAATGGGTTTTCCGAATTAAACCACCAAAGGTTAAAAACTTTCTAGCTGTTTGCCAACTAATGGGTTTTCCGAATTAAACCACCAAAGGTTAAAAACTTTCTAGCTGTTTGCCAACTAATGGGTTTTCCGAATTAAACCACCAAAGGTTAAAAACTTTCTAGCTGTTTGCCAACTAATGGGTTTTCCGAATTAAACCACCAAAGGTTAAAAACTTTCTAGCTGTTTGCCAACTAATGGGTTTTCCGAATTAAACCACCAAAGGTTAAAAACTTTCTAGCTGTTTGCCAACTAATGGGTTTTCCGAATTAAACCACTAAAGGTTAAAAGCTTTCTAGCTTTTTGCCAACTAATGGGTTTTCCGAATTAAACCACCAAAGGTTAAACACTTTCTAGCTTTTTGCCAACTAATGGGTTTTCCGAATTAGACCACTAAGAGTTGCTTCGCAGCATTCGCAACCGAGTTCAGCTTCCCCAAAGGGCGGTGGGTGGTTTCCCTAGTCCTCGCCCCCATGGTTTTGGCTGGTTTCCCCAAAGAATTTGGCGGTTTCCCCAAGCCTCGCCCCCATGGTGTTACGGACCTTTTGATCACCCCCCCCCTCCCCACAAAAAGAGACATCCTCAGTTTTTCTTGCGATCAGTGCGCCAGGAAGGGAATGACAAGGAGTCAGGGTGGGACTGAACCGGCTTGGGGGATTCCCTTATAAAATAACTCAAATTGGGGATGGTTGTTTTGAGGGAACGGTCATGCCTTTTCTCATTCCCTGAGAACCAGCAAGAAAAGAATGGCGAAGTCAAAGCGTCTGAAGCCAGGGGTCGGAACTACCTTCTCGCCAATTGATTTCATATGCAAACCGGGGGCATTGTTTTCGTGCAGGCGCCGCAGGAGTCCAGAGTAGCCATGAAGGCATCCATCATGGCGCAGGAGAAAGCTGCCATGCGGTGTTGCTGGTCGTGTCGTGCTCTGCTGGTTGTATTGTCGTCATGAAATAGCTCTTCTTACTCCCCAGATAGCTGAAACCTATAGGGGTTCAAACTTCTGATAAAGAGGGGACGGTGATTTGCGAGATTGACGGCAGGGTGCTAGGGGGCATGCAGCTGGGGGTGCAGTGTGCAACCCTCGACCTGCTTTACGCTATCTGGGGTCTATGCTGGTATTTGTTGTGTGTGTGTTGTGGCGTTGTCTTATTGTTATTATTTTGTTTTTGTGGAGGAGCCGTTTTGTTGCATTCTATTGGGCCAGATTATTGTGTGCTGTTGTCATTTGGTTGAGGACAACCTTAGCAGAGAAAGGAAGTGCCGTTTACGTGGACACTTTTCTTCGATTCAGCCGAATATTATTTTTGTTGCTTGTTGCTTGGTTTGGCGAGCGGACAAGTTGTGTGAAACACAGGTGGTGCTGCATGATTTGATGGCTTGTTTGTTTTTTGGGGTTGGTTGCTTGCTTGCTTGCTTGCCTGCCTGGCCTGCCTGCCTGCCTGCTTGCAGGTTTGGTTGGTTGGTTGGTTGGTTGGTTGGTTGGTTGGTTGGTTGGTTGGTTGGTTGGGGTCCGGACTAGGGGAGGGGCAGTTTCCCTTTGCAGTGCTGAAACAGTCACAGGCCGGGCCCTTTCCGGCATCGCCAAATGCGCCAGTGTCAACACAATCGCATGTGGAGGTCTTTGACCTTTTCGGACAGAACAATGTGTTCACAGACAAAATTCGCAATGGGACCCTGGAATGGCTTGGCTGTGTCCATGTGTTGTTTGTCACAAACCCTCCGAACACCAAACAAGATTTTTCCCTTCGGGGGTTAGAAGCGTGTCTCGTTGTTTGTTTCGAGAAATCATTTAAAAAGGTCCCCAAATTTCAAGACAACCATTATGCCAAGGAGAAACGGAGGTCGCCACCAGGTGCGATTCTTATGTTCCTTAGCCGGTGTTGCGTCGATGCCGTTTGGGTCCGAGTATATTATTTTGATGTAGGTTTGAATGGGGCAAGCAAACAAGCTCCCCAGCTTTCTTCCACTTGCTTACGGTTCAAATGGCCATGGCTCAAAATCCCGTACCGCCAGTGAACATCCCAATCCCCACTAACATAGACTAAAATGAGTGGTGGTGCATCTAACCCAAAATGGTACCATTGGTTTTGACCCACAGCCAAATATCTCTTTCGGAAACCGCTACGGGGCCGTAAGCGCTTCTGCTGGCTGACCAATAGGCGCTTTTGCAGGGATGGACGAAACCCCCAATTGCAAACCCCCAGGGCTCTTCTCCCAGAACCCGCATGTAAAAGGCAAGCCCTAGTGTCAGAATGGCGGATGGAATGCATGTCCATGCCAAGTTTCAGAACAGACCAGCTTCATGTTGCCCACTTGCGGCCATGCGGGCTTGAGACCCACCACCCGGGGGGAAAAAAAAAAAACAAACGCCCAACAGTCCCAGCTTTCTCAAAAGGCATCGGCAAAACCAACCGAAACCGAAACAGCAATGAGATCATGCATGTAGTTGGAATTGCCACTTCAAGCAACATGCGCGCAAACATGTATTTTTAGGTCGTTGGATTACATACCAGGTCGGAGGGCATTGTTTTGCAACTTCCTTCTCATTTTCCCCTTCATGTTGTCCTTGATTCTACAGCTCCAATCGGTTCAGTTGCCTCTTGCTCCGTGTGCTCCGTAGGAGACCAAGCAGAAGCAGCCAAAGGCAGGGCGGGCGGAGGCATTGGGGTCGGGCTGCGTTGTCCTTTGACAGCTCTGGTTGCAAAATGCATGTCGACCACGGCCAGTTGCTCTCAACCCGTTGTTTTTGGAAAAATCCAGAACGTTTGGGCACACAAGAGCATAGTTTCAATCAGGCAAATAAAGAAATGGCATGCTATTTTCCCATCATGAAACTTATAGGGACCCCCAACAGTATTCTGGTGTCTCGGTTTGAGCCAACCACAAAAGGGGCACCTCCAAAAAGGACATACCCAGAGTGGCTTTGGGCCAAACCACAGAGAGGCTCTCGGTGTGTGGGATCACTTGGACGCAAAAGGCATGCGTCGAGAGATCAAAGAGGGCAAAGCCAAGGCGAAGGCAAACCTTTTTCAGAGGATTCAACCCCCTCCAACCAACCCCCCCCCCCCCACTGCTTCAGAATGTTGGCTGTTTCGTCATGGCCCCAAAAAGCTGAAGCTTTTAATTTCGACAAGTGAGTCTGGGGGTACTTGATCTGTTGGAGAAACTGGGGCGGTTGACGGGGTTCAGTGAACACGTGCCTTACAGCACCATGGCCCGATCCCTGAAAAATTGGACTGAGTGCAACCCTCGCTTTTGGCTGCTTTTTCCTCGGCGGAATCAAGTTGGGTCATGTTCACTCTCACTCGACACTCATACAACGCACTTTTCAGCGAGGCGTCCCCATTTTGGCGCTTGGATGCGTTGTTCCAAGAGAATTGGGTCATACTGGTGGGATTCGGCTCTTCATGGGGGTTGATCAAAACGTCCTATGAGCATGGGATGACCAAGGGGAAAACTACGAAAAAGATGATAGTTCAACCACTAAATGAGCAAAGTTACCCATGGTCAACTCGGGGCCGAAGGGAAAAAGATCAGTTCAGGCAGGAATGTCTCAATGGCGACCTGTAGGCTGGGCTCCCGTTTGATTTCCCTTCCGCCCACCAGGGTCCCACAATTTGTGTGACGTACACCCGGGCTGTGTGCTGTTTATTCCAAGCAGATGTTCCACTTGGCCTTGATAGAAAAAAACATCTGGTAGACATGTGTCATTTGTGTTGTCAAGGGTACCTTCCCTTTCTTTCTAGGGATCCTTCTTTCTAGAAATCCTCCAGAATCCCTGGGAAAACAGCTGGTTGTTGAAAAGAACGATGGTTGAGAAGAATGGGGAATCCAGCCCTTTGGCGCCGAACACCCGATCCAGGGTTCCCTATACTTCGTCGGTGGTTTAAGCATCACCTCCTGGGCCAAGGAGTGAGTCTTTTATGTTGAGAAGGGGCCGTACCGGCAAACCCTGCAAAAAGGTTCTAGGTTATTTTCACTACACCAACCTAACCTCATGTTTGTTTTTGTTGACCAAAAAAGACAACGAAAAGCCATACCTCCAATGAGAACTGGTTTTACCTTTTGCGAACTGGCACGAACTCGCCGGCGGTTTTAGGTTGTTGTTTTTTCCCGTCTGTCCAGTTCAAGTACGAGAGCCAGCTCATTGGCCTCAGCCCAGAGGAGATCCAGGACTAGCGCGCGGTGGTTCGTTGGTTGGCAGCCCTGGGAGAATTCAAATCCTTCTGGTTCTCCCAATTTGGGAATGGCTAAGAAGGATCAAGGGAAATGTTTAGCAGTAGAAGGTGAATCATGGTATTTAGTCTTATAGCGGATTCCGTAAGCATTGCTCCCCCCCTTTTTTGGAACGCGAGTTGTTCGAAATGTGGTTGGAAGGCTATAATGGGATCAATTTGACCTTTCAAATATCGAGCTGCTCCCTCCTTGCTTCCGGCAGGCCCTTCAGGTTGGCGGCATTTGTATTGGTTAGCCTTTTGGGTCCTTCTTTGCCGAGCAGAGTTTGTATCACGGTTGATTTCCTCCAAATGAAAGGCCGAATGTACACATCCCCCCCCAAAAAAGAATGAACTTCTGGTGAATGGCTGCATCAACCCCTAATCATCGCTTGCCTATGGGAAACCAGCCATGTCGCAACTCCAAATGGCTATGGTTGGCGTACATATTCGGCGTTTGTGGAAAGGACACCAGAAAGAGGATGAACCATTGTTCCACTCACTCAAAAGACCCAATCTCTTTTTCACGCTTTTTTGGGAAGCCAAAAAAAACATAGAACAGCTGAACCTCTCTACTGGAGGACCTAGACTCATTTTTGGGGGAAGCCTTGAAAAACGCTACATCCCCCCGTGATTTTTAGGGCTTCGGAGGCGCGGAAGCAGCGGGCCCTAGACATTTGGGAGTCTTTGAAGCCGGACGTGGAGCAAGAGATGGAGAGGCGCCGGGCCCCAGGAGGTGCTCGACCATGGAAAGCTCCAACCCGCTGTGGTTGGGCTCCTTAAAAGAGACATATATATATATATATGGGAGTCGTTCAAGGTCCTTGTAAGGAATTTAGAATTCGGCAACCATCGGTGTTGGTTGAGGTAGCTCCGCGAAAGATTCGCGATGGAGTTGCGAAAGTAACTTTTTTCCTCGCGAAAGTTTTGCGTAACTGTATCTTGTAAAACAATGATATGTGGAACCATTTATCTTTGCTGCTGAGCCTTACTTCTAAGCTGATTAAAACACTTTGTTGACTTTGCACTGATAAAGTGATAAAGAGAGGTGAGGCCACAGTTTCATACTCTGCTTCGCTGGTTGGTGCTCCAAGCCTGTGTATGTGCGTTTGTGAGTTTTTAGTCGGTGGCTTTCCGCTCTGAAACGTGGGTGATTTTTCGCGAAAGTTCCGCGAGAGATCCGCGAAAGCCCGCGCGAAAGCGCAGGCTTCGATTGCAAGGGGAGGTTCTTTCTGAGCGTCGCGTTAGTCAGTATACTAGCTTGGTACTGGAAACTTGCGACTTTAAGCTAGAGCTGCACGGCTTACAAAAAGCTGCGACTTTCCAGCCGGTTCATGTCATGTACTACCCCTGTGATGAAAGTTGCGACTTGCAGCTGGAGTTGTGAGCACTTAAAAGCTGCGATTTTCTGACTTGAGCAATGAAAACGGCACGGCGGTGAATCCGCGAAAGATTTGCGAAAGTAACATGTTTATTCGCGAAGAATGGCCGCTTCGAGACAAAGGAATTTAGAACAACCACCATATATATATATATATTTTTTTGCTACCCTTGAAACATGTTGCTTTTTCCACACCAAAATAGAGGGAAACCATTTGCAAGGCAGGTGTACAATGTACATCCCTGCTTTGGTTGGGAAGCTCCAAAAAGGGGGGGGTCGGCAGAAATTGTCAGAGGTGTTCAAATGATTCAAGTAGTCCCGGTTTTTCCAGGAATGTTTCCCCAGCTTCCCATTTGTTGCCCGTGATAGTGCTCCGTTCCATTCGTGGCGACTTGAAGCCTGGGGGAGCCAAGACAACTGTATCAGCTGCCGCAGGCAAAGTCATGTGAGGAACTTTGGGCACACCGGCCCCCAGTTCCTCATGTATTGCTCCAGTGGGCAAAAGGCAAACGTAGTAAGGGCAAACCATCACGTAAGCAACAGGTGAAATCTACCAGTGGGTTACGAACAACCAAATGCCTCTCGGGAAGCACTTGGTTGGGTATTCCTTCCCCAGAATTACTTCCCCCGTTGTTTTCTACATTTTCTTTGGCTTTTTGGGGTCCCCTTTGTTTTCCACTACCCGGGCACAAAAATGAAAAGCTTTTTGCTGGGGTCCTGGTCCCAGCCTTAATTCCAGGGGTGCACCTTGGCAGGTACCAAACTTTCCGACCGGACAAGTTCGAAGAGTTCATGAAAGCCGACAGCCGAGGGCGGCGGAGCTGCAAGAACTGAGTCAGAGCCAGCCCTCATGGCCTTGGAGTTGTTGGGGCCCCACCCCCCCGGGTTTGGAAGGAAGCACGCGTGCTTGCAAAGCAACGCTTGGCTGTTTTTGGCATGCTCATGCAGGTTCCCGGGATAGTGGTTGGTGAAGCCCAAGCCCCATTGGTTGTGTGATAATGTGTGTGCGTCGTTCCTCAACACGGAGCACAGGAGGATGATCATGTTTTTTCGTTTTCCAGGCCTCTTTGCAGGTTGGGACTTGTATAAAAATTCCAAAGAATCAGATGGAGCACCTTCAAAACAAGTGCCCTGGTGAGTAAATACACCCCTCCCCTCCGCGTTTTTGGATAAGCACAACAAGCCTAGTGCCAGAGGCAAAGTACGTACAAGTTGTGATTCTGCCATGATCGTGAGATAAGCTCTTCGCGGAAGCCCTTCTAATGCTTTAGGCCCTCGTATTTGAGGGTAACCCCCCAGAAATCCGTGCCATGAGGGCATTTTTCGCTGGGCGAGTTCTTGCTGCTGCGATAGGTAGGGAATGTGGTTGAATCAATGAACCCAGTTGCTTTGGTCGAATGAAAAAGGGCGACCACCCGTTGGATGGCCAAAAACGGGTTGCCCTGTTGGAATGGCATCTGGATTGGCATCAGTTGGAAACCACTGGTTGGATAGCCAAAAAATGGTTGGCAACCACCCGTGGGATGGCCAAAAATGGGTTCATTCCATGGGAAACCACCAGTTGGATCGCCCAAAAATGGCTTCTGAAGCCATGTCTCTCGTTCCGCCCGGTTCCTTTCGCATCTCGCAGCCCCTCGCAGCCCGTGAGGGTGGCTCTCTTTGAGCTCTACAAGCCGGGCACGCCCGAGTACGCCGAGCTCTTCGAGGACTCGAAGACGCTCGGTGGCTGGCTTTTTCGCTCGCTGAGTCTTTGGGCTTTACTGGTTGCACCAAGGGCCGCAACCAAAGGCAGCCACTTAAGGACGGACATGGGAAGACAGAAGACCCCACTTTTTCTCGTTTTGCGGATTGTTTGCACTCTGCAAGGCAACCTTCACCTGACGCAAAAAATGAGATTGGACTTGCAGAAGTTCTGGCGTGAGCTGTGCTATTCAAGGGTCCTTCGTTCCAGAGAGCCGCCAATGCGAAAACGGCGGTTCTGAACAGAACGATGATTCAAGACAATGTGGAATCAGCTTTCAAAGCTTCATGCTTTTTGGGATCCGTTTGAGTGGCTTGGACACTTGCTCTTGGCCAGTCCACTCATGAAATCAGGGGTTTCTGATTTCCCTTCCGCAAAGAGCACTCGCTGGATGATTCGGACGGCCGCCCAGGAACCAAGAAGCAAGGTGGGTTTGACTTGCAACCAGCATTTGCAGAAGTGAGTGAATTTCTAGCTTCACAGCTCGGAGGAGGTGCTGGGGCCTTTCCTCTTGGACCTGGCCAAGGGCAAGCTCTCGGAAGGAGCGAAGCGGACAAACCCCGCGCTTTTCAGTGGCCTGAAACATGGGGGTTGGCACATGGAGCCTCAAGAGCACGCCATCAGAATGATCTTTTTTTTTGCGCGGCGAACCGTTTGCCTCGTGTTCGATCGTAAGGGGAAAGTGCGCGCTTTTTTTGGGAACCCCCCTTTTTGTTTCCATGTGGGTTGAAAACGAAACCACGCGCCTTTTCGCTATGTAAGGACCCGTCGCGTAACTTTCTTTGCAGGCCCGGAACACTCTGAACCGATGCTGAGGAAAAGCGATACCCGTAAAAGCCATGAAGACACATATCAGGTCCAAGGTGTTGTCGGAAACCAAGTATTTGATGCCCAACCGATACCCAACTCATTTGCCGCCATGCCGAATCCAACCAGCTGCCCTGGAGCAGCAAATGTGCTTTGTGCACTGCGTTTGTACTCAAGCGTTGCGATTTCCAGCCGAAGCTGCCAACATGTACGTCGTATACTGCACTCTAGTGCGCTTGTACTCAAGTTGAGACTTTGGAGACGGACCTTCCAAAGTGTGCTTCGTATACATTTGTACTGAAAAGGCACGACTTTCAAGCAAGAGCTGCCAACACACTGCAAACCGACACAGAGGAAAAGACCGATACTAATCGATATTCGTGTGTGAGGTTACAAGGGCTGTCCATGGGATTTTCCATCCAGCCCATGTGAGTTTGCGGGGAGCAAGCTGTGCTTCTTTTTTGCACAGGGCTGTGGGAACAAGGGGATTTGTCCCACGGTGATGACACAATTCGATTTCCCCCCGTACAGACCTGATTTCGCGGTCTAAAAGTTCCTGGACTGCCGCGCGGCCTGTTTCTTGTCACAGAGAGAGAGAGGGCGTGCACTTGCCATCTCGTTTCACGGTCATATTTGTTCCATGGTTGGCCCGTATTCGTGGACAAACAACTGTGTACAACCTATGGGTGTGTCAAATTACGTACTCCAAAAGGGGTCCCTTGAACACCACCCCAAAAGGGGTGTTTTTTAAACACACACACACACAAACCCATATATGGCCATTTGTGGTGGCCCACTTTTTGTAGGGGCCACAGATGGGGTCCAGGTATTGATCAGAGAGCTGACCTCCAGTCCCCACAGCTCTTGGTTCCGAGTCAATTCGCATTTACGAGAGATAAGGCAATAGAAATGCCCAAGATACTCATAGGGGCTGAATCACCCATGGGATTTCCCCTAGGATTTCTTTTCTGTTGCGAGCGACGAGACATGCCTTTTTGTATCCCAAAGCCGAAAGGAAGTCATTTGGGGCTGCGAATCCTAGTGGGATTTTGTGGGACAGTATCCATTCAGATGGAGATTTTCCGGGTCTTTGAACGGACCAGTTCACCGATTCGATGATCAAACAAGCTTGAAGGTTCGATAGAATATGTTGTGTCCATGTCGTGAATGATTGATTAGTTGTGGAGGTGTGTGATGATGTTCTTACGGGAATCTATTGCTTCTTGCCATTTCTTGCCAACGGCAGCGGGTAGATCAACTCAAAGGGCACTTCGCATGTCCAAGTCCTGCTTGGAACTGATCATGAGTGACCTTGTTTATTGCCAGGCTCCAAATGATGTACCGTGTTCTTTAGAGCAACCATGCAATATTCAATCCAATCCAAACCAGGAACCAGCAAACAAGGCAGTGTATAATTAGTAGACGCGGCTCTACAGGGCGGAGCAACCGATCCATTCAGCAGAAAGTCATAGATGTGCCAAAAGCAGAATAGGAAGCTTGGTTTGGCTAAGGAACATTTGCTCAAACTCTGGTGTTAGGCTTCTGGTGTTTAGCAGACATGTGCATCAGTTGTTTTTGTTCAGACATGCGTTTTCAAGGTTTTCCGTTGGCTTTTGGAGACCGCGTTTCGTCACAGTACCCATTCGCCTTTTTTTTGCGAGGACTGTACCAGGCCATTGGCGCCGCTTGGCAAGGTTCGTTTTGTATGGACCAGAATGCAAGATTCTACAGGTGGCTTCCCCATTCTTCCAAGGGATCCTTCTTTCTAAAAAACCACCAAATACCCTGGGAAACAGCTGGTTGTTGAAAATAACGATGGCTGAACAGAATGGGACATCAACCTCTAGAAAGATGTGATATGGTTGGGGTGCAAAAGCTGAGATAGGGGACTCGGCTCCCGGGCAGCGGAGCCCGAAAATGCAGTGGGTACATTTGTTTGGTTAAAAACGGACCTATGCGTAAGATGGAGTATTTGAACTTTCATTTTTCTAGATATGGGCATGTCTCAGAATTGTGCGTGACCCCACTTTTGGATGGAGATGAACATTCCAACTCCTGAAGGCATCCCTGAATTTGGGACAGTAGATCCGAGCAGAGCCTTTTTGGGGGTTGCATGTTTGCTACCGAGATACAAAGGGATCAAAGCAAAAGGAATGCCTTCTTTGTCATGTTCAAAGTTTGTTTGTTTCTACGATAGATTTAAACGTTCACTAAATAGACAAGTATACATGATTCTCAACATAGTTTTGGGGTTCTTGTGTGTTGCTCTGACCCTTTGGATGATAAACAAGCCCAAGCGCGCAGAAGTGCAGAAGCCCAGACCATGCTCTTTCTATGACCTTCTTTCGGGGTTCATAGGGTCGCCTGTTCCCTTTTTTTGGTGGACCAAAGCCGCCGCCAATTGAGTAGCGTTTTTTTGTTTCTTCTCCATTACATGTTACATATGAGAAGGGAATGAAAAACTCTACTCAATTCTTTGCCTCGCAGACATTCTCTTTTGTTCCGAGGTCATCGTGGTAGTGGGCATCCTCGCCTGGCTCTTTGCCGCCGCTCGGCTGGATTGAGATACTCCAGGAATTCCTAGACTTTATACTTTTGGGGAAGCCAATCTATAGGCAAACAGCAAGTTTTGACGGTTTTTCGGGCATCTACTCAGGGAGGGAGATTACTCTATGAGAGATCAATACCTGCTAACATGTGTGTGTGTGGCGCACAATTACGGACCCAGGAGACTGCAGACTCTGTTTGTATTCTACAATCTCTGGCACCCTTTGAGCCAAAGCCACACGCCTTGTCGAAGGAAGCTGCTTTCGGGAGGCCCCGTTTGTGAGTTCCATCTGAATTAAGGGGTGAGTGTTTGCTTGGACCCTTCGTTTTCTTATCTTTTTAACTATGACAGTCCAATATTTCTTTGGGTCTTGGTCCAGCGGCTAGGATACAGCATGACAAAGCTACTCAATGCTACTCATGTCTACTCATATCCCTTCAAACTGGGCTGTTCAAACGCAATCCTGAATCCTGCCGGCGGTGTACGTAAGGGATGCCCTTGCTAGTTGGCTTTCCTCGGAAGAATAAGGACATCGGAATGGCAAAGCTCCTTTTGAGCGGCCCACTCAAATCAACACGTCGCCCATGAAGTCAATCATCTTCACTCAAATCAACCCGTCTCCCCCCAATTATGCATGTTGGCTCTTGAGGGGGGGGAGGCCCCACAAGATGTGCGCGTTTGTGGCAGCTTCACGGCCAGCATTCAGCACTTGCTTCCCGCAGCGAACGTGAGTTTATTTGTGCATGGTGTCGCTGCGCACATGTAGATGATGTAGACAGCCAAGCCCGTACGCACTGCCACCCCGCGCCAGGAGGTCCAAATCTTTCCTGGACCTACTCCGGAAATATGCACGCACAAAACGCCTACTTAAATTGTACAAAGCCGTGGCATGGGTCAAGCAAGCGCGGGCGTGCAGCGTGTATGTCAAAAGCCAAGCTTGACCCCACCCCGAGACCATGGAGTTACGGGGGGCTATGATAAGACTTGAGAAGACTTGAGCTTGAATTCAACAGCACCCCTACGTCCCCCATTCTATTTGTTTCGGCTCCATTGCGGGTGTGTCTGTGTGTTTGTGTTTGGAGGGAGCTCCTTTCTAGGTTGGTTCAAAGGGAAGCCAAAGAGAAACCGAAGGCATGTTTGGCAGCCCCTTTCCTTGAATCACCTGCCCATACGGGGGCTGAATCAACATTCCGTTTGGGGCCCCAACCTAACTTTTCCCCGTGTGCCTGAACTCCCAAAAATATTTTTTTAGTGGTTTCCCATCCATCCTGCACCGCGCATCCCGTGTTTTTTTTTGCGGGCCTTTGGCTCCACCCCCCACTCCGCGCCTTCCGGCAGTTCTTCGGCACGGACATTGTGCAGGGCGTGACCTCACCGCCGGGAGCCCCGGCCACCGGAAGCGCGCGGCGGAAGAGGTGAGGATCAACTCCTCCGGAAAGCCGCGGGACCGTTGGATGGAAAACCGCGTCACATGAGTTGAGAGTTCAGCCACGCGGGGAAAGCTAGCCATGGCCAAGTCTGGTGGGCTAGGAATATTGAGACAACCCTTCCATGTGGGTGCTGGATCTCTGAGGCGCACGAGAGGGTGTGTCGATTCTTTTGACCGTTTGTGTGTTGTTTCTTGACTTGATGTGATGATTCGATGATTGTCAAGGGAAGTTTTGAAGAGGGAGCGGAGAGCTTGGTGTTGTATGGTTGCTCAAGATCGGTTGTTTCAGGTGAGAGGGTAAGCTGGAATGCCCTTTCCACTGATAAAGTAGTGATGGTTGTATGGGCATCAAGCACTGCTTCCCTGCAAATTAACATGGAGCCCAATCTACGACTCTACAAATGATGTCTTTTTGGGTTCCATGTTTAATTGGGCCTGCAGTCCATGAAAAAGAGAAATGTCTGTCCCATAGCCCTTCTTGAACCACCAGCAACACCGATTCGGGCAGATGAATTCTGTAGCGTGCAGTCCCAACTGGAGATCGGGTGGGTTTGATTTTGAGTTAGCATCTTGAATGTCTCTAAGGAAATGCTAGGCTTCTTCCGGGCTTGGCCCAAGGCTCCCAGTTGGCCATTCCGACCATGAAAGCAACTAACACCCTCCGGTCATTTCGTCCCTTTACATGGCTTTTGTGCTGAACAACAAGGGACCCCGCATTTAGTTACCCTTTAACCAACCAGACAGAAGCTTCCATTTCGAGAAACAGCATGTCAATGTCACCTCCCTTGGCGGTTCCCATCCGCTTAGGTGTTTAGGTGTGTTTCGCTGTTTTCAGTTGGCTTAGTGGTTGGCTTTCCGATTTTAACCCAGAAGTTAGCAGCTTTTTGTGTGGCCAGCTCGCCGCAGGTTCTCGGGCTTCGCCCAGCAGTTCACCGAGCTCTATGGCTTCTGAGCGCCCCTTTAGGGGACGCGACGGGAGGTTTTAGGGAGCAACTCAAAGGGCACCAGGACAGCGGTTTTACTGATTCGGTGAGCCAACTGATTTGTCAAATCACAGCGTCGTGACGCAGGTGATGTGAAGAAAAAGGGCCTGGCCATTCGTGGTGTCATGCGGCTGGGTGTTGTCGGTTTTGTTGGCCAAAAAGACCTTGATGTCAGCCAAGACATGCCGAAGCCCCAAAAAACCCATGAACCAAGCACTGGTAAAACTCCTTGCGGACCTTTCCTTCAAGTCACAAAGGCAGCTTTGCGGCTTTGCGTGCGTGCTACGCATAATAATCATAGACACCAGGTGCCAAGTTAGAAGGGTTTGCTGTTAACCCTAGATCAGGGAATCTTCAAAGAAGGTTAACAAATCTGGGTGAATTATAACGACCTCACACAACCTCACCCCAAATGGTGGTTTATGTGGGGAATATCGCCAGCAAACTCACCATAGGCTTTCTTGGAGCTCACCCGTCGCTTAGCTTTTCTCACCTGTGCATACCACCCTCGAAAGTGAAAGTCTCACCCATAGGCGGGCGGCTGGCACGAGCTGCCTTGCATTGCTGACACCCAAGGAACGCCAGAGAGTGGCTTCTCAGCCGAGGTCCAACCAGATTCGATGGCCAGGCAGCCCACTGTTTGGAACTTCATTCAAGCCGCTAGTTGCGATCAGGCGATCAGGCCCCCCATCTTTTTTCCCCAGATTTTCAGCTTGCAACTGTTTCGGCAACTCAGCTTGGAACCACAGCCTTGCTTTCCGAACTCCTGGCTGGCTGGATTGCAAGGAGATCGACGCTTGCCCCAAAGCCCAAGGTGATTCCTTAACGCAAGACTCAGGACCTTAGACTTCCGTCCAGCCGCCATTGCCTGCGCTTTTCTTTCAAGTTTTCGAAGCCGATGTGTCTTTGAGTCATGAAACCATCGGGGTTTTAGGGGCCATTGGCCTTTTTGGCCATGGTCGAGAAGAATACAGTCCCTAGCCTCCATGGTTTCAGGATTCAGGGGTCAGACGGCGCCGGACACAAAAGACGACACCGGAGAAAAAACGCTACAGGGCCTTCGGGGGAAGGGAGGTGGGCCGCTATGTTCATATGTCGGGCTGCTAGCCGGGAGTGAACGACAACTGGAATTCCAGGGTTCGCCCCTCTTCCCCCAATTCCAGTTTCGTGGGGATCGTGCCGGACAAAAAGTCGGTGAGTGGCCCCCCCATGAGCACCCAACGATTTTTCGTTTCGTAAACGTGTAAGGACTGGAAGGCGCTCCTGTGCTTGAATCATTGAAATCTGATGTCAACAAAAGTCAATCCTTCAGACTGGCTGGGCCCTTTGGCAGTAGGGTGTTGAGCTTTTAACGATGAACAAACGACAGGAGATCGAGCTGAGATCAAGTTGGGCCTCTTTTTCGCTGAGATGCCAGGGGGGATTTTTCGGGGTTGCGAGCATCTTGCAGGAATAACGTGAATGGGTGGTTCCCAGCCATCCGACTCCTTAGCTTTTTAGGTTTTTGGCTTTTTAGTGCTTAGTGGTTGGGTTTTCATTTGACCCACTAGACGTTATGGGGGGTTTGAGGACAGCCCAGACATGAATGTTCACTCTATCCGAAACCCTATTGCCGGAGTCATGCTCCAAGACTCGGAAGGCGGAAAACGGGCTCCGTTTTTTTTTTACTCTTGAGTTGTGGGCTCAGCTTTAGGCATTGGAAGGGTGCTTTGCAGAGAGGCTGAAACAAGGGTAAACGTTCGTTTGGGGTGGCTTGTGGCTCAGGTGGAAGTTGGGCTCGGCTCAAGCGGAGCAGTCTCCAGCGACGAGTTCGATCGCAGGGAACTCTCAGCTCGTTTCAGCTTCGGCATGCCGACTGAGGCTCAGTTGTTCAGTGGCACCCTTTTTCCTTTTTTTGGTGGCTGCACCACTAAAAATGGTCCAAGCCCCAAAAAGGGTTCCCTTTTCTCGGTTGCTTTCTGCTCCCCTGCTAAAAGTTTAACTTTTAGTGGTTTAATTCGGAAAACCCATTAGTTGGCAAAAAGTGAGAGTCCTAACATCCAAGCACAATGCACCAAAGTGTTTGTTCCAGGGTTTCTGAACTGAGGAAGAGGAGAAGTACATGAAAGAGCTGGCTAAGTTCTTGAAGGCCGGGCCGGGACGGGGAAAAACCCGGTTTTGTCTCTTGCTGCAAGAGCAGGGAATAAGAAAGGGAATGACCCCTTAACAACCTGACTGGCGGCTTCCTTCACTCAGGAATCTCCAGGTTCATTCCATTTCTCATTCCTTGCCTATGGCACCAGCAAGTCTTTCCATCTTGTGGACAGCGATTTTGGACATCAAGCGAGGCCTTCAGGAGTCCACTTCCCCCCTTTTTGTTGGAAAGAGGGCACTTGGGGAACTGAATGCGTGGTTCCCTTCAGTTGTCCTTCTAGTTTTCCTTCTAGTACCAACTAAAAGGGGGATGTGTCAAAGACTAGACACGCATGTGGACCACCCTCAAAACGGGCTTCCAGGACAAACTGTATCTCCCAACTTCAACCCCCTTGGCAAGACTCAGGGAACTTTCCGGGCAAGTCACCACAAGTAGCTCCATGATCCTATCCATTGTGGGTGTGGGGATAAGGTTTGGGTGGGGCACGCAGATGCGACCCTGGCGAGCCTTTGGGTGGGAAAGAAACGGCTCCTGGTGGCCGCCGTGGCATCCGACACAGAAGCTGGAAGCCCCTGGCAGCACATGCGCTGTGCGGCCGCGCGAGGTGCGAGCTGGTTGAAGGCTTCGTCTTCTTTTCTTGTTTTTCCCCAGCACGCAGCCTCGCACCATTTGTGGAGGCCAGGGTGCTAGACCATGTTGCTTTTCAAGGGACCGGGTCCCTGTCAGGTTGCAGGTGAATTGGCGGGAGGCGATGTCTTTCTACTTCGGGGCCCATGATTGCCTGAGGCAGTGCAGCAAAGGCCACGAGCCTTCGAGCGTGGAGTCGCCGCCATGCGCGCGCAGCAATATCCGGATTTTGAGACTTGGCCGAGTTGAGTCCCTGGGACATGATGAGCCAGAACCCCCTAAAACCCCCCCCTAAAACCACCCTAAAAAACACCCCTAAAACCCACCAGAACACCCCCCCCTCCCTAACACCCCCCCTAAAGCCCCTAAAACCCCCTAAAACCCACCTACCCCCCCCCCCCCCAAAACCCCACTTGGAACCCACCCTAAAACCCCTCCTAAACCCCACCCTAAAACCACCCCACCCCTAAAACCCCACCTAAAACCCACCCCATAAATCCGCTTAACACCACCCCTAAAACCCCTCCTAAAACCAACCCTCTAAAAACCCACCCTAACACTCCTAAAACCCCCCCTCCCCTAACACCACCCCCCTAAAACCCCACCTACCCCTTAAAACCCCCCCCCAAAACCCACACTAAAACCCCCCTAAAACTCTCCCAAAAACCCCTCCCCTAAAACCCCTCCCCAAAAACCCCCCTAGAAGTTTCCACTACAAAAACTCACAGGGATGAGCCGGCCTTTTTGGGTTGCGGGAGGGGGCGGCGGCGGCTTACGAAACACGAAGGGGGAGTTTTCGGGCGGATGTGTTGACCGTGATCATCAGGATTACGAAGATGCTCCTGAGCAGACTCCTCCAGTACCAAGCCCCTCGGCGTAACCGAAGGAGTTCCTGGACATCAGGGAAGACCACAGCAAGCACCAGACTTTTGCAGCTTCACCACATGGATGCGCTCCCCAGTTTGTTGGCGCCAGCTTCTTGGTTGTTTTGAAGCGCACAAAAAGTACCAGGCGTAATGCTGACTCTGAGTTCATCAGCCGCATGGGACCCTTTTCTTCATTTGCAAGAGTTTCCCTTGACAAGCAACGCATAGAATATAGATTGGCAAGTCATGTCCTCCCTACGATGGTGTTAGTTTGTGACCTCTTCCAGCGCAGGATGAGTTGTCTTTACAGGAGCTTTGTGTCATTTCAGGTTGGTGAATGATCCCAGCTCACTCAGACAAAGAATGCGTTCTTGATATATTTGTTTGGTGGGGCTCCCTTTGAGATGAAGCAAATGGACATGCGCTAGTTCAGTTCAACCTACAAAGGTTAGGCCTTTTGCTCAGGGGGAAAGAACAACAACCGAAACAACAGCGAAAGTTGCACTTATCTTCTTCCCTTACTCCAGATCCAACCCATCGAACTTTTCGAGGCAGCGCTGCAACTATTTGCAAGTGTGTCGAACAAAAGGACTTCCTTCCGACGCCTCATGGTTTCTCAGGTTAAGTGTGCTTACTTTCCGAAGGTGTACAATGTCGTGCAAGCGAAAAGTTTGCTTGCTCATATGTTTTTGCTTGCTTGCTTATCATTTGCGTGGTGTCGTGAGTGTACACTGCACATATATATATATATATATATATACGTATATATATATATATATAGATTGTAATTCGCCATGTGTTGGAAGTGGCATCCGGCATGTTGCGGTAGCAACTCACCGGTGACACTTTGGCTCAAGTTTTACGCATCCGTCGCGCCTCGGATGAGCGTCGCCGGGTCCCCACGTCGATCACTTTCATGTCGGAGGAGAAAGAGACTTCGGCCCGGGGTAGGTTGGTGGGGATCGCCCGAGCGGTTCATCGTCAACTCAGGTTGCGGGTATCCTTTTCTCTTTTGGCTTTGTTTGTGGTTGTTGGTTACTTGTGCGTTGGCAACCCTGATCTTCTTTCCTACGCACTCGTAGCCTACGACTGCAAGATCTATGACGTCGACCCCACGAAGCACTAGGAGCGTCGTGGATGAGGAGGCCGTCCTAGGTGACCTCCGATTAGGTGAGGACATGCGTGACTATGACTACGGGGGCAGGTTCCACCATTGCGTTCGGGGGACAGATGCGAGGTAGGAGTGAGGCCCAATCAGGCAATACTGGTAATCCTGAGATCGTTAGACAGGCTGCGCGTGCGCGCGATAGGGCGTCAAGGAGTGGCAGACTTGCAGATGCTTATTGGCAAGGGGGCCGGACAGCCCGTTGGGGCGAGACTATAGCGACCCCGAGCCACTCAGGAGAAGATGGATGAATCAATCTGGAGAGGAGCGCATCAGCAA